ATATCTCTGTCTGTCTGTCCTCAGGGGTGCCGTGTTGTCGTTGGCTATGACCTCGAGTGGTGAGCAGTGCTTCAGCGGCGGCATCGACTCTACGATCCAGTGGTGGAACATCCCGAGCTCCAACGTGGACCCCTACGACACCTACGGTACGCCCTCTGACCTCCACCCTAACCCTCCTGTTTCCTTCAGGAAGGCTCCTCACTGAGGGAATGAGTCCTCTAAACGATAAGGAAGGGTGCTTCAATGCTTCCTTTCCTAGCTCTCATCACAAAGTATTTCACCCATAAAGTCATACAGATATCAACTTCTTCAGTATAATAAGTTGTGATCAAAAGATTCAGGCTCATTTTCTCGTCAGGCTACAATAACATGCTTGGCAATGCTGGAAACTACAAATTGCCAGCTTTTCTAATACACCTGAATGCACCTTGCAAAAACAGTTGTTTCTTTTCAGTGTCCTCACTTTGGAAAGACGTCCAGACTCTTTAAAAATGTCTTATTTTCTCAACAACGTTCATACTTAAAAAACATAAAAAATGTCCCCAAAAGTGTCCTCTCTCTCTTTTTCCCCCTTCTCATCCAATCAGATCCCAGCGTGCTGGCGGGCTCGTGGCTGGGTCACACGGACGCCGTGTGGGGATTGGCTTACAGCGGCATCAAGAACCGCCTCCTGTCCTGCTCGGCCGACGGAACCGTGAAGCTGTGGAACCCGACAGAGAAGAACCCCTGCGTCAGCACTTTCAACACAAACAACGGTGAGGACGGAGGGACGGCGTCCCCTGGTGGACACCACAGGAACAACGTGTGTTGATGTGTGTGTGTGTGTGTGTGTGTGTGTGTGTGTTTGTAGAGCATGGCGTCCCCACGTCGGTGGACTTCAACGGGTGTGACCCCGCCCACATGGTGGCGTCGTTCAACAGCGGAGACGTGGTGGTGTACGACCTGGAGACTTCCCAGAATGCACTGGTGCTGAAGGGGCAGGGAGAAGGCAGTAAGACACACACACACACACACACAATCCTAATTCATCCAGCAGTTTATTTAATAAACATGAATATTGACATGAACCACCCCCCCCCCTCCCAGGGTGCCATCACATCAACAAGGTGGTGAGTCATCCCACGCTGCCGATCACCATCACCGCTCATGAAGACAGACAGATCAAATTCTACGACAACAAGTCAGGTCAGTCCGTCTGTCTCTCACTACCTACCTGTCTGTCTGTGCCCGTCTGTCTCTCTGTACCGGTCTGTCTGTGCCCGTCTGTCTCTCTGTACCGGCCTGTCTGTGCCCGTCTGTCTCTCTGTACCGGTCTGTCTGTGCCCGTCTGTCTCTCTGTACCGGTCTGTCTGTGCCCGTCTGTCTCTCTGTACCGGTCTGTCTGTGCCCGTCTGTCTCTCTCTACCGGTCTGTCTGTGCCCGTCTGTCTTTTTGTCATGAAAACTTTCATACAGAATTTGAAGATTACACAGCCAACATAGCATGTGTCTGTCTGTCTGTCTCCAGGTAAAGTGATCCATGCCATGGTGGCTCACCTGGATGCAGTGACCAGTCTGGCTGTGGATCCTAACGGGATCTACCTGATGTCTGGAAGTAAGGAGACGCACAGAGAGCTGCCTCTACTCCTCCTGCTCCTCCTCTGGTTCTAACATGTCTTCTCCTCTCCCTCCTCCCCTTCTTCTTCTCTCCTTTTCTCTTCCTCTCGCCACCTCCTTCTCCTCCCCTTCTTCTTCACTCCTTCTCTCTTCCTCCTCAGGTCACGACTGCTCCCTCCGTCTGTGGAACCTGGACAGTAAGACATGTGTTCAGGAGATCACGGCTCACCGTAAGAAGAGTGAGGAGGCCATCTACGACGTGGCCTTCCACCCGTCCAAGGCCTACATCGCCTCCGCTGGAGCCGACGCCCTCGCCAGGGTCTACGTGTAGAGGAGCAGGAGGAGCAGGAGCAGAGGACCCAGACAGAGAGAATTAGTCTGTTCACACTAACAGTATTCAGGTCTCTGAACACAGAAGATGTATTAATGAAGACTGGACACTCACTCACACTCTCTCTCTCTCTCTCTCTCTCTCTCTCTCTCTCTCTCTCTCTCTCTCTCTCTCTCCA